GCAGTCAATAGTGAAAGGACCAAGGCAGTGACATCTCCAGCTCATCCCCTGTTTGGGTATCAGCCAGCACGTCAACAACTTAAATCACGAAATAGTTTTCTAAGATCTACAGAGACACTCGCTGGAACACCTCAGCGAGAGTCCAAAAGTGGCAGGCTCAAACCCAGAACCTCAATCCATGGCTGATACCAAATGAGAGACTCCCCCCTGGGCACACAGAGGACTGGGCGACTTGGAAGGCGCTGAACAGACTGCGCTCTGGCACCACGAGATGCAGAGCCAACCTCAAGAAATGGGGCCACAAAGTGGAATCCACGACATGCGAGTGCGGAGAAGAGCAAACCACTGACCACCTGCTGCAATGCAACCTGAGCCCTGCCACATGATGCACAAGGGAGGACCTTCTTGCGGCAACACCAGAGGCACTCCAAGGGGCCAGATACTGCTCAAAGGACATTTAATAGAATACCAAGCTTGCAAACTTTGTGTTTTGTCTGTTTGTTAAAAATTTGTTAAAAATGTAATACAATTGTCTGGTTGATACTGACACGACAAGTAAATACTGACCCAAATGGGTGGCTGACGTTCCAAACATCTCTCTGCAAGCTCAGTGCAGGCTAAGAGTACAGTTCATTAATTCATCAAACATGAAAATGCCAGCTACAATGCTCTGTCTGTGTCTATGCACATGCCTGCTGCGCTGGGGAGAGGGAGGCCCTGCCCGCTTGGGGCAAAGCAAAAGAGGGTGAGGCCTGTCCCTCCCTCACATTGAAGGAACTAGCGGAAGTCATTTCGGAACCATTGGCAACCATCTTTGAGAGTTCTTGGAGAACGGGAGAAGTTCCAGCAGATTGGAGGAGGGCCAATGTGGTCCCAATCTTCAAGAAGGGAAAAAAGGATGACCCAAACAACTACCGTCCGGTCAGCCTCACGTCGATACCAGGCAAGATTCTGGAAAAGATTGTTAAGGAAGTGGTCTGCAAACACTTAGAAACAAATGCAGTCATCGCTAATAGTCAACATGGATTTATCAAAAACAAGTCATGCCAGACTCATCTGATCTCTTTCTTCGATAGAGCTACAAGCTGGGTAGATGCGGGGAATGCCGTGGATGGAGCGTACCTGGATTTCAGGAAGGCCTTCTTTGACAAGGTCCCCCATGACCTTCTGGCAAGGAAACTAGTCCAATGTGGGCTAGGCAAAACTACGGTGAGGTGGATCTGGAATTGGTTAAGTGGACGAACACAGAGAGTGCTCACTAATGCTTCCTCTTCATCTTGGAAAGAAGTGACAAGTGGAGTGCCGCAGGGTTCCGTCCTGGGCCCGGTCCTGTTCAACATCTTTATTAATGACTTAGATGAAGGGCTAGAAGGCATGATCATCAAGTTTGCAGACGACACCAAATTGGGAGGGATAGCCAATAGTCCAGAGGACAGGAGCAGAATTCAAAACGATCTTGACAGATTAGAGAAATGGGCCAAAACTAACAAAATGAAGTTCAACAGTGACAAATGCAAGATACTCCACTTTGGCAGAAAAAATGAAATGCAAAGATACAGAATGGGGGACGCCTGGCTCGAGAGCAGTACGTGTGAAAAAGATCTTGGAGTCCTCGTGGACAACAAGTTAAACATGAGCCAACAATGTGATGTGGCGGCAAAAAAAGCCAATGGGATTTTGGCCTGCATCAATAGGAGCATAGTGTTTAGATCTAAGGAAGTAATGCTACCCCTCTATTCTGCTTTGGTTAGACCACATCTGGAATATTGTGTCCAATTCTGGGCACCACAATTCAAGAGAGATATTGACAAGCTGGAATGTGTCCAGAGGAGGGCGACTAAAATGATCAAGGGTCTGGAGAACAAGCCCTATGAGGAGCAGCTTAGGGAACTGGGCATGTTTAGCCTGAAGAAGAGAAGGCTGAGAGGAGATATGATAGCCATGTATAAATATGTGAGAGGAAGCCACAGGGAGGAGGAGGGAGCAAGCTTGTTTTCTGCTTCCCTGGAGACTAGGACGCGGAACAATGGCTTCAAACTACAAGAGAGGAGATTCCATCTGAACATGAGGAAGAACTTCCTGACTGTGAGAGCCGTTCAGCAGTGGAACTCTCTGCCCCGGAGTGTGGTGGAGGCTCCTTCTTGGGAAGCTTTTAAGCAGAGGCTGGATGGCCATCTGTCAGGGGTGATTTGAATGCAATATTCCTGCTTCTTGGCAGAATGGGGTTGGACTGGATGGCCCATGAGGTCTCTTCCAACTCTTTGATTCTATGATTCTATGACTCCCAACTATGACTCTACCCAGAATTGCTTCTGACTTTCCCGCTCCTGGAAGGTGACGATGGCAGTGAGGCCTCCCGGGAGGAGGTGTACCTCACGCACGGGCCCCCCTCCGCTGCGCTTGCTCTCGAAGTAGAGCTCCAGCAGGTCCTTCTGCAGGGGCTCCTTCCCGCCTTGGCTGCGCACCAGCAAGCTCTCCGTCTGCTCCAGCCACTCCAGGCACAGCGTGGACCCCTCCAGTGGGCGGCCCCCCACCTGCTCCGCCAGCGACAGGAACTCTGCCGGAGACACCATCAGCACCATCAATATTGTAATATTAATACTGTATTGACTCGAGTCTCACGCCCCATCGAATCTAATGCACACCTCTCAGGATAATTGCAATTATTTTATATATGTTTTTCAATGTGTTAGTATTGTATCCTAAGATGGTTTCAGTCATGTTCATTCGTGTAGTAGATTATCATTGTTATAGGCCAGAGAGTAAAGTCCTTGAGACTGAGATAACAGCCCTGAGAAGAAAAGGGGGTTAACCGGCTAGTAGACAGATAAGACAGAAGGGCAGGATGTTTCTTTGTCTGTGTTTTTAGTCCTGTACTTTGTCAGTCGCCATCTTTCCTCATCAACATGTAGTCGCCTGTAAATAGATGCTTCCAGTAAAGCTTATTATTTTGAAACCGAAGAAGAATGCTGTGTGGTAATTGAGTCTGTGTGTTTTGGAAACCTCAAGTTCGCTGTGCCAGACCGGAGGGTCTCACTCTGACAACACCTCCATTTTCAAAACCCTGGTATAAAAAAAGTATTTGCTGCCAAATGTAATGCACAGCAGCAAAAAGTGCACTCTCTGTAATCTGGCCAAAAAAGGCACACATTATATTGACTGCATGCTTAGCATTCCTTCTTCAAAAAACAAGTGGAATGTGTCCAGAGGAGAGCGACTAAAATGATAAAAGGTCTGGAGAACAAGCCCTATGAGGAGCGGCTT